TTACTATTTAAAAATGTATTTATTGTTTTTCGAAGTATTCTCCGCGAAATTTGACACATTTTTCCATACGATGGAACCAATCATTGAAGCAACCATTCCATTCGGATGTTGGGGTCTCCAAAATGGCCGTTTTGTAGGCGTCCGCAGCTTCTTCAGGTGATGAAAATCTCTGTCCACGCAATTTATTCTTCATTTTAGGAAAATTATAGAAATCATTAGGGCTTAGGTCGGGGTTGTACTGCGGATGGTCTAATAATTCTATGTTTTCTTGCTCTAAAAACTATTTTGTTCTGTGTGCGGTGTGAGAACTCGCATTGTTGTGATGGAGGATGATGCGGCGGTTGCAGTTCTCTTTCCGGAGTTCAGAAACGACCTGTGGCAAACAAATGCTAGCATACCATTTTGCATTAACCGTTCTTTGTCCCTCAAGAGGAATAGTCGTTACATGGCCGGTTTTGGAGAAAAACATGGCCACCATTTTTTTTGCAACACTCCGTGAACGAACAATGTTTTTGGCTTTAACTCATTTTCAAACACCCAAACTCGTGACTGGTTTTTTGTTTCGGGTTCGTACGCGTATATCCAGGATTCGTCACCTGATACGATGTTGTATACAGCATTTGAGAATCCTGCGTGGAATCTTTCGAGAGTTCTAACGCACCAAGTAACGCGAGCCGCTTTTTGCTCTTCACAGAGCGAATGCGGTATCTATCGGGAAAACAACTTTTTACACCTAATTGTTCTTTTTTTTTTTTTTTTTTTTTTTTTATAGGATAGGGTGACAAACGAGCACACAGTCCACCTGATGGTAAGTGGTTGCTGCGGCCCATAGACATCTACATCTATCTTCCATTACAAATCAAAATGCAGATGCGTTGTCACCCGTGAGGACTGAGATGGAATGCCTCATTTCCAGTAAAAAGGGTCTCCGGTTCTCTACACTCACCATACGAAATACAGCAGCATTAAGCTACTATTTCACGCTGGTATTCTGTGAGAGCGTGGTCCTTCCCCGGTCGAGCCGACCCATTCGTGCTACAACTGTACTACTAATATAATTGTAGCATGGCTCTACCACGTAAATATTTCACGTTCGTTCAAGACACGTTCATGCAAGATTATTTGTATTTGACTCATGCTAATGTCTAAAGTTGCCTGAATTTCGCGGTATGTCACATGTCGATCTTCCTCAATCAGCCTACGCGTAATGTTTTCTTGGGTGACTGCAGTTTTTGGACGACCTTGACGGGGATCATCACTGAACTTGACACGTCCACGTTGAAATTCAACAAACCAGCGATAAATTGTGGTTTTGGATGGGGCTTCATCACCAAATGCAGAAATTATCCAGTCAATACACTGTTTTTGTGTTAAACCACTTCGAAAGTCATAATAAATCACCGCTCTTGAATTTTCTCGAGTCAATTCCATTTTCTCAACGACTAAAGGACTTGTGACAAGACCGAGAATCTTTTTTTTAAGTAAATAAATGGTATTCGATTTTTAAAACCAAGGAGTTTTCAATTAAAAAGATTTTAATGTGGTTTAAATTAAACAGTGGAAATATTCCATTCCCGATACTTTTAGTGCAGCCTAGTATACTTGCTTTGTCAGTCTTTCCGCATTCATTCTTTCTACATGACCAAACCACTGAAGCATTCCTTTCTTAATCCTGGTCACTGCATCATCTTGCAAACCACACTCTTCTTTTATCACACAGTTTCTCACCCTGTCACTCGGATTCATCCCTAACATACTCCTTATATATATTGTGTTGGTATCTTCGCAATTATGGGCTCATATCGAGTTGAGGACTTCCCTTTTTACAGTAATAACCTTGCGTTAGTGAGGTTTCTGACCATCTTGAGGTTTCCTGATACGTAAAAAATAAGTAAGATAAAAGTAAGATATGTATTGTTTGTTATAACCTTAGTTTATGATGCTCAATAATGGTTTATAGGGTGATGACGTAAGAAAATCATTCATCACATTTCAACCCGTCGTTGTCATAAGTGGCGACTTTAGGAAATTCCAAAAAAGATCTTATTCCTTTCCTAACTTTTATCTTAATTTTGAACAACGATTTTGTATTGAGCACTTATTTCAAAGTCATAAATATGACTTTGAAATAAGTGTATAGGTAAATTCCTAGCTTTTTATTTGTGAGGTTATTTACTAAGTTACGCATATATCTCTAGCTAGTTTCTTTAACGTTATTAAGTCGGTCGCCATAGTGCCGCCTGGAATGAAACCAGACTTTTTCTTATTTATGTTGCCAACCAGGAGTGCACACACTACTATGTTCCACTTTTAGGGTTAAAAGAGATATTTATTATATGCCTCTCATATTCCATACGCACTCATTTGCCATAAAATAGACAGTTAGCTCATACGTCTTAAGTCACACTCTCCGAGCGCATACTAAGGGGAAATAGTTATGTTTAAAAGAGCCTATTAGTACAAATGCACATGTATTTCATTCTCCGAATCTATCCTTATACGATGGTGTATTGTAATTAATGCAGTATCCGATAGATAATTGATTGCTTTATTTAGAGATAACTAGCGATCCGCAAGCTTCGCGCGTGTAATTTTTGGATCTCGACAACATATGCTTGTATTATGTATATAAACCATCCTCTTGAATCATTCTGTCTATTAACGAAAACCGCATTAAAATATGTATCAAAATCCATCCGGCAAACGACTTTGTTTTATATTATATAGAGATTAGCTTATATGTACTCTGTATTTATTTATCAGTCCAACAGAAAAAAAGACGGGGCGCTGGCGATTCAAAATCCAAACCAAAACCATGCTCAACTTATTGTAAGAACACGCACTCACGTATGCATATCCATCTAAAATCATTCACAACAAACAACATGATTTTAAGGTGAATATTAGTGCTTGAACTTTTGTGGGTTGATAAAGAAAGAAAGAAGAAAGATTTATGCGTGAGTGCGTCAAGAACTTGAGATGTAAATGCTTCGACTATTTTTCTTGTTCGTCGGAGACTCTTTTATTCATTTTTAAGATATCATTTCGAAGTTTTAAGTTGACTAGCTTATTATTTTTTTAGTATTTGTGCTGGTGTTTTTGTAATAAGTTTATTTCATGTTTCGTTTCATTATTTACATAATACCCAAATAGCTTTTGCCCGCAACATACGGGTGGAGCTCGGTATACGAAGGTATTTTCAAAATCACAGCTATTGTGTTATTGGAAGACCTAAAATAACATAAAGAGGTAAATACAGGATTACTCTTCAGATCTATTCCACAAAAAACGCACATTTTTCGTGATAAAAAAAACTATGTCACTCTGCAGCCTATAAACACTGCAAAACATCATGACGATTCGAGGCCCCGAGAAAGAATGACAAAACAACAAACACACTTTATATAATAATTAACAAAGCTCGCGATACTCTCCACACCATCTGGATGATTGGCGGTGCATCACTCTGCGATTTACCAGATATTTTCTTTCTCGCACAACTTCTTTGTTGAATCGACTACTCGTACCAGCGATTTTTCCAGACCAATACCAGTTAGGGATCTTCAAGAAAAGAGCTAATAATTTTTAAAAGGTCGGCAAAGTATGGGTGACGGTAGTAATTTAAAATCAGGTGAGCCACATAAGTCAGTAGTTACAACTATTCTTATCAGAGAGGTATCTACAGTAATTGAAAGGCGTCAATACTGTCGTATGAAAATACAGACAGAATAGTTCAATATCGACATAACAATAATATAAACTTTAATATAGACAATACGGGATCTCTAAATCAACATTACCCTAATTAAGCTTGGTAAACGTCAGTTCAATTTCACGCCCGCTGACTCGACAATGCTTTATAATTGCTATAAATATTAGATATTCTATGCGTGAGTTTCATTTATGAGAACATACTGGCACAGATATTGGTATTACTTTTTAAGTGTGGACGCTTAATTTATTAACTGTCATTAGTTTTGATGACACCATAATAGGGAGCAGGCGGTGTCTTAAAAATAGATGTCACAGCATCATACAATATAAGCCAGGAATATTAACTGTCGTAGAATCAGTTCATAATTCACTGGAATTTGTAAATATTTATAGTAATTATATTTGGGTATCGAATCTAAGTAACTTTCATTTATTTCTCTGAGGATTAAAAATTACAGATTTTTTTTATAGAATAAGAGTCACAAGCAATCACACAGTCCACCTGATGGTAAGTGGATGCTGTGGCTCATAGACATCTAGGATAAATTCCTCGATTAAAAATCATAATACATATACGTTGCCCATGAGGACTAAGATGGAATGCCTTGTTTCCAGTAAAAATGGTCTCCGGTTCTCTACACTCGCCATACAAAATGCAGCAGCATTGAGTTGCTATTTTTCGCTGGTTTTCTGAGCGTGGTCTTTCCCAGTCGAGCCGACCCATTCGTGTTACAACCATAATAGAGCTGCAGCATGGTTCTACCAAGTACGTTTTTTAAAATTAAATTAACTTGTGGTAGCGGCATAAGAAATTAACACAACTATTTATTCGTAAATTACAAATACTGTCCGTTTTGGCGGTAACTTGCTGCCGAAGGATTGTTGTTTCTGTTTTATCATCGAAATGGTGATTTGAAGAGGATTTTAATATGTAAAAGGGATGCAGTTTTATGTATTAATTTTATGCGAATATTATTCAAACCGACGAAACAAGTGCTCCAATATAGATATCAAGTTATTTCGTCCGCTTAGGCGCCTTAACAATTGGAGTTACTGTCGTCATCGACCAAAGCGGTTAGGGTTAAGCTACCGACAAAATCTCCCAAAAACTTCCCAACGTGACACATTAGCATATTGTGAAGAAGTTTTTTGAAACAAAGTAATTTCAATGATAATTTTTAATTATTTGATACTAGCAAAAATATAAACGTATGAGTCCATAACTGAAGAAAAAAACACAACAGTACCAATCCTTTTGTTAAATTACAGTATAAAGTTTAAATTACCTCCTTATGTAACAGCCGTACGTGAAAGCTGACGACATCGCTCACGGGCTCCCCAGCCTCCGTCACGTAGTAGACGAGCAGGGAGCTCACTGGCGCCATGTCAGCTGTCACCGGGAACCTGGGGGAATGGACAACGTTATATCTTGTGACATCCCTGTCTTGTTAAGATGATTAATGGAAAAATTCTGAGTTCATTGTTTAATTCAGAGAATGACAAAAATATTTTATACACGGTAATATAGTAACAACTGGTCGTCTAGTGGTCGAAATTCGACCGTAATTCATTAAATCTTTAGATTTGTATTTGTCGGCAACATTTTAAATTATTTGGACACAATTTCTAATATGTGCGACGGTTTTACCACAGAATAGTAAGTGTTTGACATTATAAAGGGAGAACAAAGTTTTCTCTTCGCTTATTAATATAATATATATGGATCATTATTGACGCTCGTGACGAACGCGTAGTGTGCGTCTACAGTGAATGCGTGGTGTCTAGGGCATTTTGCGGGCGTACAATGGCCGCAGTGACGAGCGAGCTGTTGGAGTGCTTAGACCGTATTTCAGGTGTTGCAAACCATGGGCGAAGATTTAGTATTTATAGTAGAAAGTCCGATCCTGAGATGGGAGATGTTAAACATAAGAAAGGATGTGCACGAAATAAATAAAAACAGAAAAATAAACATTGAATTTTTTAGTTTATTTATTCAAAAAAATATTATAATTTTTTTTGAGTAAACTCTAATGTCCATGTCAACATTTTATTATGTCATGAGTAAAATATTATGCCGAGCGACAAGACTGATCTAGTTTGACTTTGATACCCCGGACATCCCGGGTATTGGGTCGCTTGTTGACTAGGCCCGTAGTGAGGCCATATTGCGTGGATAGGAACGTTTGAAAACTATGCGCGTTATCTCGCGCATGCCCGTCACGCTAGGCGCCCGCCTTAGTCACTACACTTTGGATGCAAACGTCCGTTTCATATGTTTGATACTTCGCGCCCGACATCGCAACCACACTAGGCTCGCACTGTGGAGGCATGCACAGACTTTCAGAACAGATAGTTGGGATTGGGTTTATTATAAAGTCTACTGAATTTGAGGAGTCTGTTAATGTAGGAAGGGGGGTCAAGAGGGCTAATCTCAAGCGAGCCCATGAAATTTTAGCTTCCGAAGCCACGTCGAAATATTTAAAATAATTTTCTAATGATATTCGTAAATCATTAATTAATAACTGAAACGGAACTTAAATTATACTAAATTTTTACGTTTTTTATGTTGCATGTTTCAAAATGCGTAATTATTGGTAAGCAATCGGGCCAACTGACCGATAATTGGAATACGGGCCATCTACGAGCTCAGGAATTGGTGGAGCTGCACGTGAATCGACGGTTCCTGGCCACTATTTATTCGCGGTTGACGGGTCCTTTATCGATCGACGATTACATTCGAAAGAGATTATTAAAATGCGTAGTTTGGAAAAAGTAATCCGCCTAGGATCGGCAATCTGTCAACCTCACCAGTGCCCCTGGTAGCAGCGTCTATGAGTTTGGGTTTGACGGACTTTCATGTAAGAAAATTCCAGGTGGGTTTTCCCGTCACGGTTCTTTGAACGAAGTTATCCATGGGGCTCTTGTTTCCATTAAATTTCGTCGGTTTTAGAGCCTTGCGGGATATTTAGAGACTATGGCCAGAGACCCGACGGTATGACTTTGGTCCCTTGGGAGAGATAAAACCCTCGCGTTAGGTGCGGCTTACGTTGACACTTTGGTGGCCTATCATCTCAAGGGTACATCTTTTAGAGCCAGGGATGCATTGAAGGCAGTTGAATTAAGTTAATGGCACAAATGTGAGTTGTTGAGAAATGACTACATATTTGTGCAATTCGTTGTAGCGGCTATCGGTCCGTGAGGTCCACGTGCAGTGAAGTTCCTAAAGGAACTGTATGCACGACTGGTCTTCGCTGCTGGTGATAAGAGAGCTGGTTCTTTTCTCGCTCAAAGGCCAAATATAGCTATTCAGCGAGGAAACGCAGCAAGCGTTCTTGGCACGCTACCACGGGGAGTAGGTCTTTATGACAATTTAAGTTCTTAGTTTTAGTTTTTTTTATATTGTGTGTAGTGAATATTAAGAAATTCAATAAGAATACAAAGTTGGAAAAAATGACGAAACAACTTGGTACCAACGAACAATGTGTTGCATTTGCTGAAGCCAATAATTCACTCTTTTAAATAATGCACTCTTTTAAAACATATCGCACGCATCGCACACCGATGCGACTGCCAAGTTCAACCAACAAATCTTACGGCTCTTTGTTTTGCACGAAAGGGTAGTGTAAACAAAAACGCAAAGTATCGAGAAAAAGTGGAACATTTTTTTAACAGACACATACAGTTGGTGCACGTGTGTGCACGTGGGTGCACGTTGGTGCACCTCATTTATACCTACATTTGCTCAAAAATGGAGCTTTGAAATGACCATAAACGAGGATACATAGAAGAGAGGGAGCAATGTTTGAGGAGAGTCACGATTTACGATTGGTTCAGCTATTGTCGCGAATCAGTGCTTATATATCACCTAGACAAAATAAAGTACATTGCTGAAATTCGGGAAACGGAAATATAACAAAGATAATTTTGGTTTAACACTTTTGTTCTACTTGCTCTCATAAACTTCTAATTTGTTATTGCAATTAATTATTGGGTCCTTGGTATGACCGAAGATGGGTCAGAGGATCTGCGACTAAGGTGTGCCCTGACAACGTACGTTCTGCTGAGGTTATAGTGCCTTTAGTTCAAAAACACATAGAATCTGGTACCACAATTCACACAGATTATTGGATAGCGTATGACTGCCTAGTGGAACATGGGTATAGACCCACAAAAAAGTCAACAATTCAGACCCTGACAATTCATTTGTGGCTCCAGACGAGACTCACACGTAAAGGATTGAGTATCAACGGAGAGCCGTGAAGCGTTTTAAAAAAAAGTTAATTACAATAATCAAAAGAATTTTGGTGATGCGATAGTAGAGTACACATCATCAAATATAATCAAAATCCATTTTTGGAAATGGTGGAAATGATAAAATATGTAAATTTATTAAAGTAATTATAAATTTAACATCTTGATGTTTTATTTGGTCTAAGAGCGAGCGAAGTGAGCTAGGGACTTGGGTCACCCTCTCGTACAGGTTAGGTTAGAAGGGGATGGCGGGAGGTTCTTTTTTGTCTAACACTTACTTTTCTCGTATAACGAGATGTCGAAACGTTGCCGAAGAACGTTAATAAATAATATTATTGATGATGAAGAGGAATTGGGTTGTAAATCTAATTCTAAATTACCGATATATGAAAAACAGGTAAGTTTACAATCAATATTTACAAATTATACTCAGTCTAAGTGAAATATTTATGTAGGAATATAACAAATAAATTCAACTAACATAAGCAAAACACACACCGGCCGTAACGATCCCATACTTAGGTATAGAAATGCTCCAATAAATCGCTACACCTAATCAACCCGCTTTAAAATACACTATCAGATTTTTTTTCAGAACCCGATCCAAACAAGCCACATCATCTCAAAAAAGGATCAAAGAAGAGGAGATATGTAGGATGCTACGAAAAACTTCGCACCTTCTTATAAAGTCGTGAGGCTGACAAAAAAGCAAAGAAAATTCTCACATAATGTATCGGTTGCAAAAATATTACTGTTTGACCTGTTTTAATAAAAAGCATCCATAAGTACAATTAAATAAAATCGATATTTTTTCCCATCACTAAACAATATGAAAAACCGCACTTTTTCAATGCGGTATGGGGTACATAAGACCCCACATTTTATTTTACTTATAGAATCTAAACTAAATAATCTGCCCATAGGCGGCGATTTAGGTTAATCAACTCATTGATAATAATAATCGCGACAAAAACCGTACAAATCGCCTTATTTGGCGCCAAGAAAAGGATTTTTGTCTCATGTGGGCGGTGGGGTTTACTAAGCCTCGTGCCGCTACAACCTCTGGTTCAGAACGAGGTTTCGAACGTCTCGTAACGCAGTAGTGGAAAGTACAGATAAATCAGTGCCGCTGGGAACGTGTTAAGGCGATTTTTCGCAGAAATCATTAAAAAATGTTAATCTAACATTTAATATAAAAAACTACGCTCCTTCAGCGGGGGAAAAGATGGAGGGGAATCTACGCCTCCACCTCCCCTCCACTGCCCTTCTCTTTCATGCCTATAGAGATTTGATACTAAATCTTACCAATAATTTCATTAGTTTGCCATATTATCTTTGACGCTGCATTTTATCTTAAATTACGTAACTATGTTAGATGGTAACTAATTGAAGGAACCTGGAATGCCTTTGTATTTGTGTAAAGAATGAAGTCTTAGTATGCCAGCCTTCGGTGGTAATTTTGTAAAAATACTTCAGTGATATATGATTATGCCGTCATCATCATTATTACAGCCCTTCACAAGTCCACTGCTGAACATAGGCCTGGATTCCCCCAAGGAATGCCATAAAATACGGTCCTGAGTCCCCTGCATGCATCGACTTCCTGCATGTCTTACCAGGTCGTCACTCCATCTAGTGGGGGGTCACCCTACACTACGACTACCGGTAAAAAATAAAGATTAAAATATCGATTCATTGACATTGAGTTAAAAATCGTTTCGCTCTTTACAATCGCAAAATTATTGTTATTATCACCAATAAATACAATGTGAATGTGATGACGGCGTTAAAAAAATTTCGAATAATTTTGCTTTAGCAAAACTGGAAGACTTTTCTAAAGATACTTCGAGTGAATCGGCGAATCGAACTTGGGTGGCAGACTATGGCACATATTATCCGCAGTATAACCAGAATAACCGCTATATAGCCCAATGGGTAAGCTAAAAGTAGCAATGGACCGGCCAGCCATATAGCACGAAAAAACGACAACTGATGGGAGAAATATTTTAGAGTGGTAGCCTCGTGTATGTAATTGGAGTGACAATTTTTAAAAAAATTATCATTCTGATAATAGCCGTGGTAGCTCAGTTGGTTAGCGCTCGCTGTACATTTCACAATACGCGAGCAAACCGGTTCGATCCCCGCCGGATCCA